CTAATTAAAGTCCACCACCATTTGAGGAAGTCCTATTATCAGGAACTTCTTTTCTTGGAATCTGAATCCAGTGGATCACATCCTGTGTTCTAAGGCAACAGTAATTTTGCTTGCTCCAATCTTCCTGTGTCAGAACTGCAGACATTTGAACTCTTATCTTCCATTCTCACTCTGTTCTCTTCTATTCTTCAGACCTATTCTTCATCAACCATTCTTCACAGAGCATTCACCATTTCTCAGACCTTTCACCATTTTGATTGTAGTCCTCTGCACACATTCCAACTTCTCTCTAGTGACCCCATCAGGTACCATCTTGACTAGTAAAACATATTCACTAATTTTATTCTCAGTTATCTGGTCTTTTGCCTTTATAGAGACTATAGCTTATTACAAGGCACTAAGTCACAAAGAATGTAAGGAGATGTACTTCTTAGTTGAAATGTCTAAAATTGCACGGTGACATTATTACTTAGAACATTGAACTGAGGGTTCATCTGCACTCTCCAAAAACCATGGACTCACCTCATATGGAAGGTTGCCTGTCTTCATGATGCTACTTCCAAGTTTTGTGTGTGTGTGTGGGGGGGGGGGGGGGGGGTTGCATTTAAATTTTATTTATTTTATTTATTTTGAACATTTATACCCTGTCCTTCATAACTCTCGAAGGGGGGCTCAGGGCGACTTATAACTGGCAATCATTAGATGACAACAAACAAACAATCGCAGTACAAACAATTAACATTAAGTAAACCAACAAGATTATAAAAACACATTGAAACAGCTTTCCCTTACTTAGAGCAAAATTGGAGGATACTCTGGAGTGTGCTGTAAACTCCATTCTGCAGCTTTGGGGAAAGCTAGATCAGGTCTGAGTTAGCCTGATCTGCTATGTATGTGGCACATTGGCACCACCACCCTTTCCCTGTGCTCATCAGTACAGAAAAGAGAATGGATCATGATGATGTTTCCATCTCAACCATTCCTACTGGCTCCATGTAAGCTCCTGACCATCATGGGCAGCTCTCCTGAACATCGGGATGGGGTGCCTGTACAACAAGCATGAAGGAAGGGGTCAATTCCCCCTCCTTCTTCCTGTTCACATGAGCACACTGTTGTGACACAGGCAAAGGCACCAATATGACCAGACAATCTCCCCTCCTTCTTCCTGATCATCCAGGTGCCTTTCCTGCTGCATGATGATGAAGAAGAAAGGCAGGATCTCCCCTTCTTCATGCTGGTTGCATGGGTATCCCATTCTGGTGTCTGAAGAACTTCCCACAATGGCTAGAAGCTCACGCAGATGTACGATGCCCTAGCAGAGCAGCTGTACTCCTTGACCATATGAACAACAACCCCAATTCAGCACAAATGTGATCAAAGGATTTTCTAAGGCTTTTTACAGCAGTTTAAACTTTCCTAGATAGGATACCAGAATTCAAAAAGTCAATATTTTGTGAGTGCACTATTTTTTAAAAAAATTCTGGGAGAGAGGAAATCTAATGCTGAATATACAAATTTTTAAAATTGTACGGTTACTGTATAGTAAATTCTTCACACACTCCTAGCATTATTTCAGGCTTTGCCAAGAAACATTGATTACAGTGCACTGTCAAAGGCCTCTGCACCAATTTTCAAAGTGTCATGCTCTGCTGGAAAGGTATGCGGAAACTATCTCTTGGTTTAAATGATGATCTTACAGCCACATTGTTTAAACATTTTAAAGCACTTCTATTGAATGGTTTCCCTCATAGGTTTGATTCATTTTGATTCTACTGACAAAGTTCCCATTAAGGAGCACTCTTTTCATAATTTGTCAAAAATATATAGCAGAAATGAAGCAGGATGAAGCCAATTTGTAATCTGAGAGCACTAACCTAGTTATGCTGACATGCTTCGTGATGTACGCTTCAGCCAGCCAGCCAGCCAGCGATTTAACGTTATGAAGCACGGAAAAAAGCTATGTTGCCTATAATTTCCCTTTTTTAAACAACACAAATTTAAGGTACAGTTAAGGGCTAGATCTGACTTCATCTACCTGGCTGGGGGGGGGGGGGGGGGGGGGGGGGGATTAAATACTAATGGATCAGGTGGCTACTTTGTATAAAATGTGGATAAAAATGGGGAAGAAGGACAAGAGTTTTGAGATGCTGAATAATTGTAAATATATAATACTGGAACCCAATACAATATGGTTACTAAATCATTTCCCTGAAATGATTTAATTAACACCAGTAAGGAGATAGAAGTTCCTCATACCTTAGTACCTAATGCTTACATTCTGAGTCATGAGATAGTAGAGGTGTGCAGAAGTCCAAAAATCTGCTTCGTTTGTATTTACGAAATTTGTGTGACCCCCATTTTGATTCTAAAGTGTTTTAAAAATACATAAGGGATCCAGATTGTATCTAATGTGAAGTGACAAGAAAGACATTTTTCCCCGTTCATTATTTAAAAAACCTATAAGAGCTAAGCTATACCTGGTGGAGGAGGAAGCCCCATGGGTCTTGGAGCAACTCTTCTCTGTTCGGCCCTAAACAAGCAGGCCCTGCCCTGTGCTGTGCCTGGGATGAATCACACCCCTGACAGGGGAGGAGGCCTGCCAAAAGCCTCAGGCACAAGACTACCTGCTATCCTAAGCAAGACCTGCAGCATCTTCCACGAGGTACAGGGCTACTTGCTCTATCTGCCACCACCCTTACTTGAGCATACCCTGTCCTGCACTGAGGCTGGGACAATCTGCGGGTCCAGCGGAAGAGGAGGCCCCACCAAAGGCCCTGCTTAAGATGGCGGGTACTCTCGCACCAACATTACCTCTCATAGGGCTTGAGGCTCTCTCGTGAGAGGGAGGACTAGTGTGGGAGGCCTTTAGTGAGGCCTCCCTCCCCATCAGGTGCACGGCTCATGCCAGGCCCAGTGCAGGTGGCTCACCATGAGGGGGAGACCAACTGAGAGAGCAGTCCTGCCACTACTATGACAGCAGTAGAGCACAAGGAGGAAGAGAAAGGTGGATAAAGAGAGAGAGAGGAGACATACAAAATAAACAAACTTCTTTACAAAAACTCAGAGGTGGGTGTTTTGATATATTTGTGTTTGATGAGAGGTGGCTCTGTGGGTCGTAAATCAGGTTGTAAGTATGGATTTAACAAAACACCATTTATGACCCTCTTACCATTTTTGCACACCCCCACGAAAAGTACTACCCATTGTGTTCTTTTGCCAAAGGCAAAAGGGTGGGACTAAATGTGTAAACATATTTTAGCTTCAAACTGTTAATGCAACAAGTAAACCTTGGGAAATATTGTTTAGGTAGGCAACAAATACTGCAGACATAGGGAAAACTGCTATGGCATCACGGGAAACAGATATGGCCACCCTAGGAATTCCAGAAGTTGGGACTTTATGAATGCCAAATTTCTTAACCTCTGGGTTGTTGTAGGTTTTTCCGGGCTATATGGCCATGTTCTGGAGGCAATTTTTCTCCTGACGTTTTGCCTGCATCTATGGCAAGCATCCTCAAGAGGTAGTGAGGTCACTACCTCTGAGGATGCTTGCCATATATGCAGGCGAAACGTCAGGAGAAAAATTGCCTCCAGAACATGGCCATATATCCCAGAAAAACCTACAACAACCCAGTGATTCCGGCCATGAAAGCCTTCGACAATACATTCTTAACCTCTACTTACAATATTTTAAAGCCTTTTTGCTTTATCTGGATGACCATTCTTCTCTCCATCCAGTTCTTCCCTGTCACTTCCCTCATTGTTTCTATGTAGATTATTGTATGTATTCTTGGAATGAGCATATCATCATCATTATTATCCTCATCACATTTATTTGTAGTCTGCTTTTCTCAGAATTTGGAACTGGCATGGTTGCCATTGTGATCTCTATGATTCTATGATTCACTGTGGTTTACAACATATTTTAATAAGTAAAATGCACAAAATGCAAATGTTAAAAAGTGATAAAGCTGTCAAAAAATAAAAACAAGCATGGTTCAGTGCTGCTGGGTGGACACACTAACTGCCCCCCTCCCCGCCCCTATGTCATAGTGTCTTTAGCCATGACATGAGTCCTACTTGGCCACCATTGTGTGCACTGATGTCAAGCAGAGGTGATGAGGTGCTGGGAGAGGGGAAGAATCCTCCATCTCTCCCTTGTCTTCTCAGCATGTTGTCACCCTGCCAACACCACTGTACATGAAAGTGGACAGGTAGGATCTGTGTTATGGCTGAAGGATATGAGGGCAAGGGAACTACCATCCCATGTCCCTAGGTCATCCAAGCTCCAAAAACATGGGATGACAGTAGAATCAATTGCAGCTGGTTCCACAACAAACTGCTCTCTCGGGCCCTAAGTTAGGGGATAGTCTGAGTTCTGTGCCAGAATTTGAACTTTCCCCCAATTTTAGATAATGTGGGGCAAGGCTGCATGAAGGTGGCCTTGACCTGCATTACCTCAAATCAGTCCTGTAAGACATTTGGCTACTGAGTGATCAGTATAGAAGGGACCTAACTTTTCTAGAAATTGAGTTCTAGAATCTGGGGGAATCCACTAAGATGTTTCCTTTTCCTATTTTCAAACCATAGGCAGGGCAAAAAAAAAAGGAATGCACATCTTTAGGTTGAACTATAAGATAAATTAAGTTAGAGGTAAAGTAAAATTGGTTACATCACAGCTCCTTAGCTTAGCTGAAGTCAAATGGTCATGTCTCACCATAGCAATACAACTAACTTTAACTGGAACAGGTATTTTCAGCCAGAGAAGGTATTTTTGTGTATGTCAGAGATCTAACAAAACCTAAAAGAAATGGCACGTCTGGTTGAAAACTGATAAGAAACTATTTGAATTTCAGTTGTATGCAATTTTTGTTGAACTAACTTGAATTATATTGGACCTTTTATAGAGAGATATGAACTTTACCAGCTTATTACTACTTTAGGGGTGCTTATCAGACCAGTTTTAATCAATTTTTCTCCTCCTCCTCTTGTCTCTTTTAGATCAAGTATTTGGTTCCCATTTGCACAAAGTGTGTGAACGTGAAGGCTCCACAGTTCCTCAATTTGTTAAAATGTGCATAAATGTGGTTGAAAAACGAGGTGAGTACTTATCCAATTTAACATTTCTCCCCACCTTGTCTTCATCTTTCAGCATTAATCATTCTGAGACCCACTAGGAAAATCCTAAGTGTTAAATTTATATGTACTTATATGTAACTGGAAATATATGAAGCTGCTTGCCTTTTCTAACATTCCCCTGTTAGATATTTTTTCTTTACATTTCCCTCCACTACCCCAAATATATACCATAATAAATTGTAAGTAGCCATAGTAATTCTCTTCCATTTATACTTATTTTTCTTGACTAACTTAATTATAACTAAATGCTTTAAAGCAATTACATTTTAAAATATAATTCTTTCATTTTCATCTTTTGTATTATTTATTTACCCGTAACCTTTTCCTTCAAGTAATTTTCAGTTCAAAATTAAATTAGTAACTAAGGAAAATATTTTCCCAATAAAGTGGAGAGATCCATAAAGTTTTTATTCATCCATACTGTATTTAAAAGTAATTGGGGGGGGGGGACGGGACTCTAAGACCTTTTTTAACAAAACCGATTTGAGACCTTATTGGTTACGGTTGCATATATGAAGATAACTAATGTTTATTTCCCTACTTTTTAATTTTCTTCTGTGGTTTTGAACTCTGTTCCATGTTCTCTTGGGATGGTTTACTTCAAAGGGGAACTGATAATTGTATATTAGGGGGAAATTAAGATAGTTCAAAGAGGCCCTGCTCTCGGTTCCACCCCCCTTGCAGGTGCGATTGGTGGGGACGAAAGACAAGGTTTTCTCAGTGGTGGCTCCTCAGCTATGGAACTCCCCATGAAATTAGATCAGTGCCCTCCCTCCTGCCATTCAGAAAAAAAGTAAAAACCTGGCTATGGGACCAAGTCTTTAGGCAGTAAGCAATACAAGGAACGATCAGGATCATGTGCATTAGATATCGATATTTGGAATGGCCCTGGACTAGGATTGTTGGATTGGGTGATTTTACCATTTATATCAATATGTTTTAACTCCATGTTTTAATGTTTAAATGTCATTGTGTTTTTATGATTTAATTGATAGCTGTATGTTGTAGTAGAGCCTGCGAGTAACGAAACAGTAGTTTGGGCACTAGAAGAGGAAAGAGGGTTACTCGGGAGCAGGAATCTGATGATGAGGAACAGAGGAAAAGGATCCGGGGCATACTTATGGTACCCTCAGATGAGGAGTCATTCGAGGGTTTCTCTGGGAATTATGGGTCAACAAGTGAAGAGGAGGAAGGAAACATCATTGATTGGTCTAAGGGAAGGAAAACAGCTACTCGGGAGCAGGAGTCTGATGAGGAGCAACAGAGGAAGAGGATCTGGGATATACTTACTGCTCCTACAGATGAGGAATTATTCATGGGTTTCTCTGGGAATGATGGGTTAAGGAGTGATGAAGACGGGGATGACACTTTGGACTGGACTAAGGTGAAAGAGGTACAAGCTGTATGTGTGGAGCCAATGTCCAGTGATACATTTGTAGGGTTCTCTGGTAATGAGGACTGGCAATCGGGGAATATATCTAGTCTTGGGGGGATCTAAGTCTTGACAGAAGATGAAGGTGGAGAGATGGGAGTAGGAGTTCACGTGTGGAGTCAAGAACAACTGCAAGGGATAATGAAGATCAGCTCATCTTCTGATGATAATGTGTAAGATAAAAGTAGGTTAAGAAATGATGAATCTTTGCAGAAGGCAAGGTGTTGGTTTACATTTGTGCATTGGGTACTTGTCGCTGCCTCTTTTGTGTCAGCATTGGGTCCTGGATCTGCAGGTTGCTGCCTCTGTTCGTGTGTACTTTCAACTCGGCTTGGATTCTTGTGAGTGTGGATTTCCCCCTTCCTTGATCTTGGATCAGTTTGACTACGATGCTGCTTCCATGGACTTTGGAACTTTGCTACTTCAAATTCTGCTTGCTACGACCCTGGACTTCGCTTGACTACGCTTTCTTCCCTGCAGCTTCTTTGTTTTGTTAACTATTTGCATGTTGTGTTGTTTTGTGTGACTTTCAGAGTGCTTTGTTTAATCCGGTTCTTTTCTCCGGATAATCCAGATTATTACTTTAGTTACCTTTTTGAACCAGGACTGGTTTTTACCTTTGAGTTTTGATCAGAGACATTGAGTTAAGTGCCTCTGAGTCTTTTTCCTTTGTTTAATAAACACTATTTTGGAACTAACTCTGAGTCTGGCCCTTTAAGGTGTCTGTGTTACGACACTGTATATTATTATTGTTTTATGTTAGGTTTTTATGTATGTGAGACATTGAATTTTGCCGTATATGTGTTGGAAACCACTTTGAGTCATCCCCCCCCTCCCCGGGTGAGAAAAGCAGTATACAAATTAAAAAAAAAATAAACAAATGAATAAATTAAGGAAGATGAACAAAACTGGTATGCTTATATCCTAAATAGAGTGGAAGGAAAAATAAATATATTGTCACTAATCTTGCAGAGCACTTGCTTTGCTGAAGTCTTAAAACTTCTGTTTTGATTTGAGTGCTTCCTTCCTTTTAGTTATTGCAACCTTAAACCAGCATATGGCTTTAAGCTAATAAAAATGTAAATAATGACTAATCTTGGTGGCATGTGATAAAATTCTCATTGTTATCATTGTATTTGTGACTTTGAATTTTGTATACAATTTTCTGTCATCATAGACTTGGATTATGATTCCTTTGCATTTATTTCTGTTTACTCAATGTGTTGTTTTCACTAAATTCTGGCATACACCATTGCAGGACAGCAGTAATTTATGTGAAGCTAAATCCAATGTTTATGAAAGCTTCTGATGACATTTTAGACTGAGGTTGGTATTAGGAAGCAGCATGTGGAGGTGCCAAGTCTCCCCGCATGGCTGAGACTCAACAGATTTGAAGCCCTCCTCCTAATGGCCAGATCTGCCTCTAGCCAAGTTATTCAACTGCAGAGTCATGGGAAATACTTATGTACCAATTATGGGGAAAGGCACATTTAATGAAAACTGTATGTTTACTTCCATAGTCTTAGTAAGATGGCCTAAATACTCAGCGCAGCTGGCATATTGGCTGAGGCAAGGAAGCAGTGCGCCTTTTTGTCCTATCTGCATACTGTAACTGTACATAAAAAGTTCACTGTGTTTCAAGGTGGAGTGCTCTTTTATGATTACCCTACTTTACAAATACATTTATTTCTGATCATCAATAGCAGGATTTGTCTGTTTGGGTTATTTTGCTTAGAATTGTTTAGCAGGGTCATTCCACTATTGCTGTATGAAGTTACTTGTAACACTCAGTGATCAGTCAGAACATTGTTCACATTGCAAACGTTGTCATGAGTGCAGGCAACTGTAAGCTTCAAGCATAACATTCAGTGACGTGGAATCAGTTTGAATTCAAGTAATTTGGCTGAACTCATTTGTGAATCAGACTTCTGCAAGTTTACTGGCCCAGATCATTGCCCAGGCTAACGTGACTTACTCTCTGATCTACTAGTGGATGTTACTATAGGGCCTCATCACTCTTACCAAATTGAGCATCCAAGGAAGCTTGCCAGCAAGTTGAGGGATGGATGAGCACGTAGCCCATCACACAATGTCCCTCAACTTCCAATCCTGGGATGTTTCTTCATCAACACAGGAAGGCTCCTGTGTCATGCTGGACTACTCCGGTTTGGCAACACTTCCCCATGTGATAGGGGAGCGTTGCCATGATGGAATCGCCCCACATACCTGCTAATTTTTCCATGCTTGCTGGCAAAGCAGCAGCAGGGGGACGGGATATGTGATTAGGTCCTATATTAGGTCAAATGTTAACTCGGGAGTAACAAATGATGATGAAGAGTCTTTCCATCATGATTGTGTATTATTTACATGCTGTATATCACACTATTCCAGTAAAGTGTAAGATAAAGGAATTTAAATGTGTCAGTGCTCAACTTTTCTAATTCTGGCTGAAGAAGGATGTATCAACTCTGAGAAATCCCATCAAAAATGATTAGCTACCACAAGATTTGAATTCAAGTAATTTGGCTGAACTCATTTGTGAATCAGACTTCTGCAAGTTTACTGGCCCAGATCATTGCCCAGGCTAATGTGACTTACTCTCTGATCTACTAGTGGATGTTACTATAGGGCCTCATCACTCTTACCAAATTGAGCATCCAAGGAAGCTTGCCAGCAATTTGAGGGATAGATGAGCACGTAGCCCATCACACAATGTACACATTTGCATGCTCAGGGCTTCATTTAAATGTGGACTTTTAAACTAAAATGTCCAGTGCTTCAGCATATAATTATTACATGTGTGTACACACACAGAGAGAGAGACTAACACACAAACATGAAGTAATAAATAAATGTTTTTGCTAAGAATATCCATCTATGGATTGCAACACTGAGGATTGTGGCTGAGTCCTCTGGGAAGGGTTCTAGATTATGTCGTCATCTCCACTAATTTAAATATCTTGGAGCTTTGAATTTATAAGCTCTGATTCCCCTACCATACTGGTCAAACAACACATGAAAGTACATCAGGGAAATACAGTGCTTATGGCCTTACGACATACCGAGTACATGTCCCCTTTCTTTTGCATCATCTATATTCAGAGACAATATTAGTCTAGGTATTATATCTTGGGGACAAACAAAAAGGGAAAATACTTGCTGACATGCTTTGGTTCGGATTTTTACAAACCTTTGTTATCACATGTCAGAGAAAGAAAACATTGAAATTATTCATTCATATATGTGAGAATAATATGTGCAAAGATTTACATTTGGTCTCCAGTTCTCCAAAATGGAGATTCCAGGGGTGGTAAAATTAAGAAAGATTGGAAACTTGGATTGACATTGAGCAGGATTTGCATTCCTAGTAATAAACTCATTTCCCATCTTCCAGTGAGATTTTCTCAGAGGTGAATGCTTTCTTTTTTTTTCAATCAAAGCAAATCAAACCACTTGTGTTGACCTTTCTCAATGAACAATCCCCAAAACAAAGTTTACTAAACCCAATTGTAGCATTGAGATTATAGGA